GCTGATCAACAATCGTTTGGAGAAATTTGTTCATGTATGTACATGGAAAATAAAAACAAAGCAACAATCGAAAACAAAACTATTTCTGAAATGGAAAAGCCGAGCGGCAACTTGTAAGCGCATGCAATAAAAATTCCATACTGAAACGTAAAAATTGTAAAAACAAAAATTTTCAAGAAAACTAACAAAAAAAATGCCTTTAATGAGTGATTACAAACAGTGAAAACAAAATAAAAAAAATATAAAACTAGAAACTATACAGCTTACAAATCAATAAAATAGTTTGCATTTATTCATGCGTTAATTTTCAGATTCCAATAGAGTCCTTCAAAATCAATAGGAGTAAAGAAAAGTGTACAATTTTACAGCAAAAATATTAATGAAAACAAAATTAACTTAATACGTGTTCTTACTCGTAATAAAAATTATGAACTTTTACACTGCCGCACTGCCGCCGCTAAAAATTGTTCATTATACATATTTCAGTTGATAAGCATACCATTTATTTGTTTACATATTTATTTATTTTTGCTACAGCCAAAAATTTCAACAACAAAAACGACTGTAGACTACACAATACCGACGTTGGTTAATAAACAAATCTACAAACATACATATAAAGTCGGACATACATTCAAGTCTGTGCTTCACCTACATACATATATATATGTACATGTGCCTGCGCCAATAGGATATATAAATTTGTGCATTTATTGACCGCAAGTACATTTTCCATTCTCGATCGGTTCACCTGCTGCGTACATAAAACATTCAATTTATTCACTCATTTCGGGGTTTGTGAATTTCACTTGCGGTTTATCGTCGTTGTGGCTTGTTGTTGTGGTTGCTATTTTGATATTACATTGCTCACATAAATTTAGCGGTAATGACAACACGCGGTATTCGTCGCAAGAAATCGACTTTGACAGAATTAAAAATTGCTGTCGTTGGAGCGCCGAGCGTTGGCAAGAGCGGTATGTTGAGATGCATCTAATACTAATTTTATTAACTCATTTTTTTTATTCATTGACATACATAAGTAGGTTTGTATGGACTAAATACGAATCTAACTTTGCACATAAATAGAGCATATCCGAATGGCTATACGAACCATAAATCGGTGAATCCCAGGGTTAGGCGGGTTAAGGTGACTTGAGGTGAATTGAGAAGAGTAGAGGCGAGTTGAGTTGATTAAATATAGGTTAGTTTATGGAAACTGAGGTGAGTTGAAGTGAGGTGAGGTGAGGTGAGTCCATTGTAATTTAAAAGTATTAAAACTAGTTTCTTAAGGTTGAAAAGATTGGATTAGATTAGATTATTATTTCGAGCAGGGAGTATGTTGCCTATTTACTCCAACAAACCACGATCTTTTACAATGAACCTTAATTTTGTTATAGGTCTTCTTCGATCCGCGTGTCGCTATCAAGCTTCTAGGTGCGGTAATCCCAGAAAGCAAAATATCGGCCCAGTAAAGGCTTTACAGTGACACATATTGTGCTCTGCTGTTTCTCGTTCCCAAAAACAACATCCAAATCTGACAAGTGTCTTCTGCTTCTTTTTTTTGGAGATTACAGATTTTATCTGTGTGTTGAGCTTTTTTTGTCATCCAGGCCCGCCGTTGAAGGAGTTTCGAGCCAGAAATAAGATAAACACGGTTCCTCGAAGATGTTAGTACTAAAATGTTACAGAGAGCGAGAAGCGCCGCATTTCTATCAGAGTGTTTGTATATTAGGTTAAAATTTATGCCCCCTGCCAATAGCAATTATAATATCTACGCTGTCTTTAGTTAGCTGCGTAATTTGACGTGATGCCCAATTAGTTTTGAAAATTGTTACGACAACATGCCAAAAACTGTTTACACTTCCTTAAAAACATGACAAAGCGACAATGATTTAGGATTTTGCAAGTACTCTAAAATTGTTTATTTATTTTGGGATAATTTGCAAATTAGCGTATTTAGCAATAGCAATGTATGTAAATATTTTCAATTATTTATGACTGCATCAAAAGCAAGATAATCTTATGCGAGACGAACAGAAACACGCACACATGATAAATGTTCGAGTATATGTACATTAGGGTGGTCCAAAAATTAATGTAAAAAAAAGTAATGGTGGAATTTCGATGCCCTCAGCGCCAAGGTTGGTTCTATATCGAAAAAAGATGTATGTATATCCCGATGTTTTTTTTTTATATAAAAAAATATTTAGAGGTCGCTCAAAAGTTTGCATGTATTTTATATGAGGCAAAAACTTTTCGTAGGAATGGTATAGAATTCTTGCAAATCAATATTTTTTCCCAAAAATAATGCCCAATTGTTTTTCTAATAATTTTTTTATAGTAACTATATTTTATAGGTCCCCAGAAAAATCAATGAGGAGACCAATAAACAATTTTTACTATAAGAAAATTGTTAAGTAAACAAGGGGTATTATTATTGGGTATCTCCTGAAGAGAACCAGAGTTTCACTTTGAGTGCTTTGAG